GACCGGTGCGGATGCTCTTTGAATGAATGAATGAATGAATGAATGAATGAATGAATGAATGGAATGACTCTCTCTCTCTCTCACGCACTCTAAACACAAGCATGGCTCTTTCAAACGATGGAAACGGCCGCGCACCTTTGACGGACAGGGGAGTAGCTTGCGAGGCCGCTCTAGACCCGCTCGGTTATTCGTCCCCGCGTCCCTCGGGAACAAGAACTCCCCGAAGGCCGCGGGAGAGCGCTCTGCTGTCTCCCCCCAGGCGCCTTCTGGGGCGCGACGGGGCTCAGCCGCGTCGCGTCACTGCAAATAATCAAGGGCTTCGCAAGCGAGATCTGGCAAAACGTCGCTTGAAACCGCAGACCTGCCTCATGGCAACGTTGCACGGCCGCGTAAAGATGCATTTAATTCCCCACAACTCTCTAAACAATGTATTTTAATTACACTGGTTGCCATACACATTCTGTCCCGCTTACATAACATGCCGTTAAAAACTTTGCTGAAAGCTAGAAGTAAAATGATTATATAAATAAAAGAAAGCCTATCAAATACTTTTAGGTCAGAAAATAGGTGCAATCTCAGGAGAACGTCTAATAGAATGTGACACACAGAAACCCAAGAAAAGAAGTACTCTTTAAACAATAAAGTTTATTAATTTTATTTTTAAAAGCAATTGTACAACAAAATAATTTTAAAAATGTACTCTTTCCACAATATGTATCCAAAAAGAATAGCTAAACATAGAGATCTAAAATTAGAAAACCACTTTTCAAAAGGTGCCCATCAATAGGGCAGTAATTATAGCATCAGGGTTAGAGAGTGGGAAACACATCACAGGAAACAACTGGTATCTTGGCAGAAGAACCGCTTCTAATTAAAATGGATTACTTGGCGGACAAATGCCGTTTTGTGCAACTGTATTTTGCACGGCCTCCGTGCAGGAACGTGTCTGGCCCGGTCACCAGACAAAAGGCCCCAGGCGGAAGAGCTTGGGCCGGGCCCTGGGCCATCGCTGAGCCTCCCCTCTGGGAATCGGGCACAAGGCGCAGCCAAAAGCCTGAAAGAGCCAGGGAGGGGCTGGCCAACATAGTCAAGAAGAGGCTGTCCAGGGAAGGCAACTGCTCCCACCCATTTGGGCGGTTTATGAGAAGGCACTGGGGGGTAACACCTTGCACTAAAACCAGGTTTGCTAACTCAATGCTAATGGCTGTGGACAGACATCATTTGAGCTATAAACCATGGCTTACAAGCCACAATAAGAGGGTTCACGCGGACGGCTTTGCAGACGCCTCACAAGACTGGATTCTGGGCATCTGAAAGGCAAAGGACCAGCAGAGACACTGTCTGAAAGGAAAGGCACGTGGGGCAAGTTGATTAGGGACCCTGAAAGGATTCACCCAAGAGGGAGTTTGTAGGAGGAGAGCCGTGTTAGTCCACAGTGGCAAAAAAATCAGGAGGAGTCTGGCAGCACCCTTTCCGGCCGACGCATTTTATTCAAAGGCGTCAGCTTCCGGGACTGCTCCCGATTTTTTGCCACCCAGCAAGGAGGTGCTGCTGCAAGAAGCCTCTTAGCCTTGCTGGTGTTCGGGACTCCAGCTCTTCTCACAGTTGTATGGAACTCGCTCCCAGTGACTTCAGTGGAGCTCCTTCCGGAGTAAATTCGAAGTGGTGGCAAACTACCCAGATGTGCTAGGCTGCAGCTCCCATCTGGCCCAGGGAGGACCCGTAGCAAAGGACGTTGAGTCCCGCAGCTCAGCACGTTTTGAGGGTCACACCTTCCCCACCTGACACCCCCCACACACAAAAAGGCCTGTATTTAAATTGAGAAGCCCCTCTACTTTAAAAGCCAGGCAGACCTCCGGTGGAAGGGAAAATTCCTTCAGCAAAGTGCATCATCAAGTCATCCAGAGAATCTGTCTGCTATATTCTGATCTCTTTTTAAAAAAAGGAAAATGTTATGTCGGAGCTCTGCCTCCCCACGCCCATCAGAAATCCGCCATCTCTCCCGAGAGATAACTCCCCATCACTTCCGCAGACCACCTTTGGAGAGGTGGAAATTCCTCTCCCAAACTGAATGTCACATGCGTGCAGAACCACCACCCAGGGTCCGCGGAAACATCTTTGGTTAGGCTTTGGAAACGCCGTGCCTGACAGCTCTTCCTGGAGAAAGCTCAGAGAATTAGCCGCCATAGCCAGGCTGCAGGATTTGGATCCGTGCGAGCAGAACTGGTCACCCCTCAACGTTCCTGGCACCCTCAGGCAATTAGTAGGAACCTGTATCCTATTATTACATGACCGCAGCATCAGCTGTGCTTTATCCTCTCTCTCACAAATGTATTTTTCTTGCATATTTTTCCTCCTCACGTTCTCCAAGATATGATTTTGCAACAAGAAGCCCGATTTTCTACTTAAGCAAGCAGGAGGAAAGATGAACAAGAAGACGGGGTCAGAGAGATTCAGGTGAAACTCCTGAACACAAGACCAAGCATCAGAGAGTCTTTCTGTCCTTCACAGAATCCAGGTACTTTTCTCTTTCCTGGAGAAGCTTTTTCCCCTTGACGGTCTCCACCCCTTGAGAAACAGAATCTGACTCAACCTGTTTGGGAGCTTCCGAAAGGGCACAGCAGTCCCACGTGGATTAGAATTATCCCACAGAGGTGAGACTGTCAGAATCTACCCCTTTCAAGAGGGAACTTTTTTGTCTGCTTTGGTAAATTATGGAAACTTTGGCAAGAATCACCCAGAGTCAGTTCGTGGGAAGAGTTGGCCTCTTTTCCCTCTCCCTCCTAGCTGTCTGCCCCCACCCTCTACCCCACCATTCAAGTCGCACCTAGTCATCTTCTTCGCCCCCTCCATACATGTCAGCCAACTTCTTGAAACGGTTGCCCCAGTTGTTCAGGTAATCATAATCTTGGTCCTGGTCTCCATTGGAGGAATTGAGAGAACTGAGAGAGGTGGCTTCAGAGCCGTTGCCTTCATAATCAAACACCAGCAGAGAGTCATATGGGGGAGCAGTGGGGTCTGTGTCTGCTGCCTTCAGGTTCTGTTAGAAGAGAAACCAACAAAATGCCCATTTCTTGAACAGTAGAGCAAACTGGTGACAACACAACCATCTCTCCAGAGCAGTGTTTCTCAACCTTGGCCACTTGAAGATGTGTGGACTTCAACTCCCAGAATTC